TGGGTTGATCTGCAGAAGGTTGGGTTGGTCTGCAGAAGGTTGGGTTGGTCTGCAGAAGGTTGGGTCGATCTGGAGGAGGTTGGGTCGGTCTGGAGGAGGTTGGGTTGATCTGGAGGAGGTTGGGTTGATCTAGAGGAGGTTGGGTTGGTCTGCAGAAGGTTGGTTTGGTCTGGAGAATGTCGGGTTGGTCTTCAGAAGGTTGAGTTGCTCTGTAGAAGGTTGGGTTGGTCTGGAGGAGGTTGGGTTGATCTGCAGAAGTTTGGGTTGGCCTGGAGGAGGTTGGGTTGGTCTGGAGAAGGTTGGGTTGATTTGGAGGAGGTTGGGTTGGTCTGCAGAAGGTTGGGTTGATTTGGAGGAGGTTGGGTCGGTCCGTGGAAGGTTGGGTTGGTCTGGAGGGGGTTGAGTTGGTCTGGAGGAGGTTGGGTTGATCTGGAGGAGGTTGGGTTGGTCTGCAGAAGGTACAAGGAAGGTTGGGTTGATCTGGAGGAGGTTGGGTTGATCTGCAGAAGGTTGGGTCGATCTGGAGGAGGTTGGGTCGTTCTGTAGAAGTTTGGGTTGATCTGGAGGAGTTTGGGTTGGTCTTCAGAACTTGCAGACCAGCAGTGCCACCTTCTCCTCTGGCCCAGGCCAAGAACGCGCTGGCCCACGCGCTGCAGTCGGCTCGGCACGACGGGGACCTGCTGCGGGAACAGTACGAGGAGGAGACCGAGGCCAAGGCCGAGCTCCAGCGCCTGCTCTCCAAGGCCAACTCCGAGGTGGCCCAGTGGAGGACCAAGTACGAGACGGACGCCATCCAACGCACCGAGGAGCTGGAGGAGGCCAAGTGAGTCACCGCCCCGGGGGTGGAGCTTCTGGGGGGGTTGGGGGGGGAGACCACCCACTGGAGAAGGTTCTAGAGAAGGTTCTGGAGGAAGTTGAGTCATCTGCCCATGGATGGAGCTTCTGTGGGGTGGGGATGGTGACCACCCACCGGAGAAGGTTCTGGAGAAGGTTCTGGAGAAGCTTCTGGAGGAAATTGAGTCATCTGCCCATCGATGGAGATTCTGTGGGGTTGGGGGTGGAGACCACCCGCCAGAGAAGGTTCTGGAGAAGGTTCTGGAGAAGGTTCTGGAGAAGGTTCTGGAGAAGGTTCTGGAGAAGGTTCTGGAGAAGGTTCTGGAGAAGGTTCTGGAGGAAACTGAGTCATCTGCCCATGGACAGAGCTTCTGTGGAGTGGGGGGTAGGGACCACCTGCCAGAGAAGGTTCTGGAGGAAATTGAGTCATCTGCCCATGGACAGAGCTTCTGTGGGGTGGAGACCACCCTCTGGAGAAGGTTCTGGAGGAAACTGAGTCATCTGCCCATGGATGGAGCTTCTGTGGGTGGGGGGTGGAGACCACCCGCTGGAGAAGGTTCTGGAGAAGGTTCTGGAGGAAACTGAGTCATCTGCCCATGGACGGAGCTTCTGTGGGGTGGAGACCACCTGGTGGAGAAGGTTCTAGAGAAGGTTCTGAGGAAACTGAGTCATCTGCCCATGGACGGAGCTTCTGTGGTGTGGGGGGTGGAGACCACCCAGGAGAAGGTTCTGGAGAAAGTCCCAGAGGAGCATCCTGGAGACAGTGGAGGAGACGCAGAGCAGAACCCCGGGTGGGAGGAGGTTGGGGCGGGTCCCACCCAGCCCAGGGCTGACCCCAGATTGTCCCTGGGGGTAGGAAAAAATTGGCGCAGCGGCTGCAGGAGGCCGAGGAGGCCGTGGAGGCCGTCAACGCCAAGTGCTCCTCGCTGGAGAAGACCAAGCACCGGCTGCAGAACGAGATCGAGGACCTGATGGCCGACGTGGAGCGTTCCAACGCCGCCGCCGCCGCCCTGGACAAGAAGCAGAGGAACTTCGACAAGGTGGGAGGGCGGGGTGGGGTGGGGTGGGTTGGGCAGGGGGGGACACGGGCAGGTGAGGGGGTGACCAAAGGTTGTCCCCCCCCCGCCCCCCCCAAGGTGTTGTCCGAGTGGAAGCAGAAGTTCGAGGAGTCGCAGACGGAGCTGGAGGCGTCGCAGAAGGAGGCCCGGGCCCTCAGCACCGACCTCTTCAAGCTGAGGAACGTCTACGAGGAGTCGCTGGAGCACCTGGAGACCCTCAAGAGGGAGAACAAGAACCTCCAAGGTGAGGCCGTGGGGTGGCTCTGCCCCCCCCCTCCTTCCCCCCCCCCCCCCCCCGGGGGGTCGGGGGGGGTCCCCCCCCCCCCCCCCCCCCGGGGCCAGAGGAGATCTCGGACCTCACGGAGCAGCTCGGCGCCGGCCACAAATCCATCCACGAGCTGGAGAAGGTCCGGAAGCAGCTGGACGCCGAGAAGCTGGAGCTCCAGGCCGCCCTGGAGGAAGCCGAGGTGGGACCATCCGCATCCCTCCCCGTCCCGGTGACACTTCCATCCTCCACATCCCTCAGTGTCCTCTCTGTGTCCCCCCCAGGCCTCCCTGGAGCACGAGGAAGGGAAGATCCTGCGGGCGCAGCTGGAGTTCAACCAGGTGAAGGCGGAGTACGAGCGGAAGCTGGGGGAGAAGGAGGAGGAGATGGAGCAGGTGAAGCGCAACCACCTGCGGGTGGTGGAGTCTCTCCAGACGTCGCTGGACGCCGAGACCCGGAGCCGCAACGAGGCCCTGAGGCTGAAGAAGAAGATGGAGGGCGACCTGAACGAGATGGAGATCCAGCTCAGCCACGCCAACCGCGGCGCCAACGAGGCCCAGAAGCAAGTCAAGGCTCTGCAGGGCTACCTGAAGGT